TCTTATCTAGATAGACCTGCAGAGATAATAATATGCCCAAAAAACAAGGCATAGCAAAACAAAGCGACAAAATAGAACACAACGATGACAGCAAAGAAAACCAACGACCAAATAAATTTAAAAAAAAGAAAACCTGTAAATAGTTCAAAGTCTGAACTATTTCATGAACCTCTAGTCATGTCCTCCAGTTGAGTCTGATAGGGTCCCACACACTGACCCCAAAGTCTATTCTTTGCACTCCCTTGGGACCTCCCTGCTCTGCTCCCCCTGCCCCCCACCTTGCTGCTCTGCTGCATGCCCTTAGTGTTTTGCCTCAGTGTGGTGGGGTCAGATTGGGCCAATCCTGATATTAAGTTTCCAGTGTTGTCCCCCGTAGGACCATGGGTCAACATAGTCTACTATCTTTAATGAGAATTGATAGATTTATGTTTTTTTCCTAATCATTTTATTAGGGGGCTCATACAACTCTGATCACAATCCATCCATACATCAATTGTGTAAAGCACATTTGTACATTCATTGCCCTCGTCATTCTCAAAACATTTCCTCTCCACTTAAGCCCACGGCATTAGGTCCTCATTTTTCCCCTCCCTCCCCGCTTCCCCCTCCCTCATGAGCCCTTGATAATTTATAAATTATTATTTTGTCATACCTTTCCCTGTCTGACATCTTTCACCCATTTTTCTGTTGTTAAAAGATCTCTTGGTCTCTTGGTTTGTCTTAGCCTTATCTTGACATACTTAATTTTAAAAATCATTTATTGGGGGATTTTGTAGCTCATATAACAATTCCTTACATCAATTGTGTCAAGCACATTTATGCATATGTTGCCATCATCATTTTCAAAACATTTTCTTTGTGTTTGAGCCCTTGATATCAGGTCCTCTCTTTTCCCTCCTTTTCTCACCCTCCCACCCTCATGAACCTCTAATAAATGATAAATTATTATTATTCTCATATCTCACACCACTCACTGTCTCAGTTTGTCCACATTACTGTTGTTCGTCTCCCCCGGGGTGGTGGTGGTGGTATTATACATTGGTCATTGTAGTCAGTTCCCTGTTTCTCCCCCTTCTCCCCCTTCCTTACCCCTGCCTTCATGGCATTGCTACTCCCATTGCTGTTCCTGAGGCATTTATCTGTCCTGGATTCCGTGTGTTGAATGCTGTTATCTGTATGTGCTCCTGTCTAGCCAGATTTATAAGGTAGAACTAGGATCATGATTGTGTGTGTGTGGAAGCATTAAAGAACCAGAGGAATGTTCTGTGTTTCATTGGTGCTGAAGCACAGATATTTATCAACGTTATGGTAACAGAGAGGAGTCCTGGTGGCATAATGAATTATGGTTGAGCTGCTAATCACAGATGAGCAGTTTGAAACCACCAGCCCCTCCACAGAAGAAAGATGAGGCTTTCTACTTCTGTAATGACTCATAGTCTTGGAAATCCACAGGGAAGTTTTATTCTGTCTTTTAGTGTCTCTATGAGTCAGAATTGGTAGTGAATATGAGTTTTATTGCAAAAGGACTTATTAGCTTTGCTAAAGTCACTAGCTTTCACATTAAGGAGAGTAAAACCAAGCAAACCCAATCCACTACCATCTAATGCATGCTGACCAACAGATAGAATTAACTCCAAACTAAACTCACAACCCTGGAGTCCATTCCAACTCAGCAACCCCCTGAAGGACAGAGTAAAATGGCCCCTTCGGGTTTCTAAGAATTTCAACTTTGATGGGAGCTGACAGCCTCATCTTCTTGCTGTGGAGAGGTTGGTGGGTTCAAACAGCTGACCTTCTGGTTACCACCTCAGTGTGTAGCCCATTTTTCACACCACCAGGTCTTAAACTCATTTAATTTAATGCTGTCATTAGAGATTTCTATTTCTGTTCAGTGAATAATTTTAAGACTCAAAATAGGGAAGTGGAAGAAGAACAAACAGACAAGAGGATGTGTGAAATAAAAACTGCTTGGAACTGTAACTATAGGCATGTTCCTTGGCAGACCAGTTGAAGGAAAGTGTATGTATTTAAAATGAGGATCTGGAATCGACAGGCTTGTTTATTCCTTGGGAAGTTTTCAAGTAGGCCCAGGGGTATATAAAACCCAGATTGGAGACCATTTCAATTGTTCTGAGAATAAATCCGGACTGTAATGTGAAGCAATCACTTCTTTTCCCTGGTAGTTGAAAACATATTTTGAATTCACACAAAGGCCTCATAGCTACACTGTACCGCCACAGAAGATGGGGCTCAGTTGTACACGTCTCTGTCAAAGGCAACGAGGAAGTGACTGTTCATATGGGGACCTGAGATTTCTTTTGATTCTGACAAAGTCCATGAGAACCCAGATTGTATAAAAATTGATATTCTATTAGCATTTATTGAGTGCTTTCTTCACATTAAGGAGGATTTTAGGAAATACTAAACGATTAGTTATTTCTTGTACAAAGTTTCATTATTGTTTTACAGTTGAAATGAAAAGACATGCCAAATCCACACAGTTGATAATGGAAAAATTTAGTGCAAATCCAGCCCCTTTGATATAAAGCTTCCCCTGCTTTCAAAGACACCACAATGAGATTGATAAAGAAGATAGCTGGAAGTTGAGTAAAAATACAAGGTCTTCTTCTTTCCCATGACAAAACTTATCTATTTAGTATGCTGATGACTGAAGTTTTTCCTGTATTCAACCTCAACCCCCAGCCCCAACCTGTCAGTGAATATTTGTTGAGTAATGCACAAATTTGTGAAGATAAAAGATGAAAATTGCCCCCACATCACCTGAAGCTAGATTACCCCACACTTCTGCATCTGGCACCAAAGACTTTCAAGGACGTTTTAAACATCTGCAGAACTTTCTGCAGGGCATTTTTCATCTCCTTATTTCTAAGACTGTAAATCAGGGGATTGAAGAGTGGAGTCACCATTGCGTAGAACAAGGTCATGATCTTAGGCATCAAGGTGGTGTGGCTGGACCCAGGGCTCACATGCATCACCATGATCGTACCATAGAATAGCAGAACCACAGCCAGGTGGGATCCACAGGTTGAAAAGGCTTTACGCCGACTGGATGCTGAGGGTAACCGAAACACAGCCAGTAGAACCAGAGCATAAGAAATGAGAATAGAAAGGAAGCTAAGGAGGATAATGAGGGAACTTAAGGTATAACTGGCAAGCTTGGACATGGGGGCAGGTGCACAGGAGAGGGTTAGCAGTGGGCCTGAATCACATACAAAATGATCAATTACGTTAGGGCCACAGAAAGGCAGTTGGGAAATGAGAATGACAGGCGCCAGGTACCAGAGAAAGCCGCATACCCAACAGGAGATCACGAAGTTGACGCAGTGTTGGCCAGTCATAATTGTGGCATAATGGAGAGGATGGCAGATGGCAAGATATCTATCAAAGGCCATTGCAGAGAGAAAAAAACACTCTGTGGAGCCCATGGAAAAGAAAAAATATAACTGGAGAAAGCAACCATGAAAAGATATGGCCTTAGTCTCAGACAGGAAGTTGACCAAAGTGTTTGGGACTGTGGAGTTGACATACCAGATCTCCAGGAAAGCAAAATTGCCCAGCAGGATATACATGGGGGTATGAAGATGCTGATCCCAACACACAGCACAGATAATAGCTCCATTTCCCATCAGAGTCAGGAGGTAGATGACAGAGAAGACCACGAATAAGACAGCCTGGATCTCCTGGCTGCAGGGAAAACCCAGAAGGATAAATTCGCTCACTGACTTGGTGGTGGTTTCCGCCCCAGATGTATTCATTGATTCCGAAAGGTGAGCTGCAAAGAAGCATTATCATTATGAAGCCAAATTGAAACAACGGAGCATAACATAAAAGCTCTTCATTTACCTCTTTAACTTCCTCTCTTTCCCTGTGCCGCCCTGAGCCCTCCGCTGTGGTAGGAAAGGATAGCTACGCTTACATCAAAGATATGCTGTTTTTTCTACCTTGTATGCTGTCACTGCTTCCTTTTTTTCTCCTCTCTCTCTCTTTGCTCAAAATTCCTAAATCCCGTCTTTTTCCCCCCCTCTTTCTCTCTGTTGATTGACAGGTTGATTGCTGGATTGCGGTAGAGACCTGGGGAACTTGCACTCATCATTTACAAGACTGTTCACTGATTGCCTCCACAAGAAGTGTGGCCGGAACCACCAATCATGCATCAATTCTTTGTCCTTTTTATTATCCAGTGTATATATGTATAGACAAATTTATTATAATCTATTGCAACTGGTTGCTTTTTTCTGTCTTTCGCCTTCTCTAAGCTTCATGGAGGCAGAGATGGTATTTTTCATCCCTGGGCTACTGTCTAAAAAGTGCAAGCAACTTTTAAACCAATGTGTCATTGTTTTTTAAAATAGAAGAAATAAGAAAAAACACTCTAAAAATTATAGGATGAGATTTTTCTGTGCCAAGGAATTTACTACATTATTTGCTTCATGAGTATTTCCCTGCATTTCTCAGTTTACCTACTAAATTTTAAACTTCTGAGAATGGGGCCAAATGTTAAAAATCTTTTATTCATTTTCAATGTCTAATATATTATCTTGCCAGCAGTATGTGCTTTGCAATTTCTTGTTAAATAAACAACTGTTATTATTTCTGCCATCAATTGAGTCCTAGTTATCATTCATCAGGGACTTCCAATCCTTTAACTTGTGTGGGACAAAAAGTTATTCAAGTGGACCTCAACTCTGGGAAGTGGTGGAGACATATGAGAACAAGAAGACCTCGTCTTCTATAGGTGAGAAAACCAAACCCACGGCCACAGAGTCCGTTGTGATTCGCAGCAGCCCCATAGGACAGGGTAGGACTGCTGCTTTGGGTTTCCAAGGCTGGGATCTTTACAGGAGCAGAAAGCCTCATTGCTCTCTCTTGGAGCACTACTGGTGGAGTTGAACTTGTTGATCTTGCAGTTAATAGCCCAAAACATGATCTACCAAACCTCTGGGCTTCTTTCCATATGGGAGACTTAGGTTTAATTTCTAGCTAATTCACTGACTTGTGCGTGTGTTCCTATGATGCTGAACAAGGTTCAGCAGAGCTTCAGACTATGGGAAACTGGCCTGGTGATTTACTTCTGAAGATCAGTCAATGAAGCCCTTCTGTATCACAGGGATCTGCTCTGCAACCGATCACAGGGATGCCAAAGGACCAGGCTTAATTTCATGCAGTTGGGCATGAACTAGGAACTGACTCTACGCTGCCAACAACAATAACAACCGTGCTCTGGTGTATATTGTGTCGATTATTTTTCATAACATTTATTGACTTTGTATCTGGTTATCAATGAATAAAAATTTGTAGCAACTTAGAGAAAAGATCTAAGCTGCATTTGGTTTCCTTACTTAAGATAAGAAAGCATTTTCCTCTGGGTTCATTCTGGTATTGGTAGTAGGTACATTTATTTATGTTCATGTTGTTAATTTCTTCCTTATGAAGAACTCAGTCAGTCTCTATCTTGTTGACAGGATTTCTGCCTGGGCTTGTTTCTCCCAGCTAGTAGTAAGATTAAAGCGTCTGTTTTCATCAGGTAAAACCATCTCTGTGTTGTTCCCCAGCCTTGGCTACTACTATTTAGATAACTTTATTCAAGTTAAAAGAGGGAACAAAGTCCATTTACGGGACACCAGAAGTCAAACTTGCTTTTCCTAACTCTTCAATCTACCTAGACTTCCTAATGGATGGTATTCTTTCTTTCTTTTTTTAAAAATCATTTTATTAGGGGCTCATACAACTCTTATCACAATCCATACACACATCAATTGTGTAAAGCGCATTTGTACATTCATTGCCCTGGTATTATTTCTTGTGGCTATTTTCTTCAGTTCTTTTTTTCTTTGGGACCCTGTGGAAATATGTAGATGTAATCCCTAAAATGGGAACCAGGGAAACAGAACTTTTTATCTGCTTTGCTTTACATTGTCTTCTATGGGTTAGTGGTCATTACTGAATTCTCACTTTTTCTCAAAATAAAAAACATGCTACCACTTCCAAACAAAATTTGCATGGAGTTGTCAAAAAAGCTGGGGCAATTCTTATTTCTAGAAAACAGGCTCCTCAACACTTACCTCAGTTAATGACAATCACTGCTGTGCCCAGGGATTTGAAGATCTTAAGATCTTTCATCAAAGATAGCAAGAAGAACAAGACAAAAAGTGCAATTATCTAGACAATAAAAAGACACGGGTATGAAGTGGTCTCTGTGTTTTGGAGGCAAATGCTTGCGTAGGAGCATGCAACAAAGGTCAGCCGTGCTCTCTCCTCCTCCTCAGTATATATGTAAGTGTGAATTCCCAGGACCTTCACTGAAAAACAAACCCCATTTTGTATAATGAGTCTTGTCATGGCTGCCAAGAGTCTCATCAGGGGAGATATCTGGAAGATGATGTAGAGGATACTTTGGGAGTCGTCTCCAGTTTTTCAATCTAGAAGAAAGGACACAAGCACCAGCAATTAGGAAACTTAATCTCAATGGAGCCTATGCTGCACTTCTCTCTACTTGTTCTTGGTCAGTATTTCCAGAGACTGGATACACCGTATAGATTTTTGAAAAAGTGATTTCTTATCTCAAGAAGTTCCATCGGCAGACCAGTCTTTCATTGTCATTTGACTTCACTTCTGAGTACTTATTTGCCTTGGGGAAGGGGACCAGGAAAAATAAGAGCAGATATATGAAATAATTTTTTGGCTAGTGGATAAAATAAACCCCAAAATTTATTTTGTCTTCATAATTAATAGTTTAATCATAATGGAATAATGTTAGCTGTATATAGTCATAGCTCTCGAATTTTTTGAAAATACCTTCAACATTCTTCTAACATTTTGTGTACAAAAATGTTTTTCAATGCCTAGAAGAGGCTATATGTTAAAATTTCTGCTACTAAACTCTTATCACAATCCATCCATCCATCCATTGTGTCAAGCACATTTGTACATTTGTTGCCATCATCATTCTCAAAACGTTTTCTTTCTACTTGAGCCCTAGACATCGGCTTCTCATTTTCCCCTCCCCCTCCCTTCCTCATGAACCTTTGATAATTTAAAAATCATTATTAATTTTCAAGTCTTAGACTGACCGATGTCTCCCTTCACCCACTTTTCTGTTGTCCATACCTATTTTTAACAAAATATAAACAGGACGTTTCAAAGGAAAACTCAAGAAGACCGAATGAGGTATTATAAGGAAATGTGAAAATATCTGGAGTTGAAAAATTAAAAAGGAAGAATATGTTTAGCATATCTCAAACTGAAAGGACTGAAGAAAAATTTGCTTCAAGTAATAGTATTGAAGGATTCTATGGGGAAGATGCATCATTGTCTCAGTTTTTCATAATGTGGTGGTTTTCCTGTTACAATGAGGTTGAAGCGATGTCACTGGTATTTCAAATACCAACGCCATCACCTATGGTGAACAGGCTTCAGCAGAGCTTCGAAACTAAAAACAGACTGGAAAGGAGTAGTAGATTGCTTATTTATGTGGGAATAGCCACTTTATAAATAATTGTGCTGGATATAGTGCAGGAAAATGGATCTCTAAGGCTGTCAAAATGTGGTTGGAGAAGAGCTGCCTCCTCAGAATAGAGTCCACCTTAAGGACGTGGATGGAATAGAGCTTTCAGCACTTTCACTTCCTGATGGGGCAGCGCTCAAAAGGAGCAGAAACAGCTGCAAACATTCTTTAGGAATCAGAATGTGGAAGGTATACATTATGAATCTAAGGAAGTTAGAAGTCATAAAAAATGAAATTTTATGCCTTAAAATCTATATCCTATGCCTTAGTGAGCTGAAAGAGTCTGGTATTGGTAATTTTTAGCCTGCCAATTTTATGACTTTACTCTGCTGGGAATAATACATTTAAGAAATATGGTGTCACATTCACTGTCAAACAGAACATATCAAGTTCTAGAAGGACAATACTGTCCATGATAGGATAACATCTATATAGCTACAAGGAAATCAGGTTAATACAACTGTTATTAAAATTTATATATTAATCACTAAAGTTGGCGATGAAGAAATTGAAGAATTCTATAAACTTATTAAGTTGGAAATTGATCAAACTTGCAATTGAGATGCATTAATAGTTATTGGTGATTGGAATGTGATAGTTGGAAATGAATAAGAAGAATCAGTAGTTGGAAAATATGGCCTTGGCAATAGAAGTGAAGATGAAGATGAAATGATAGAATTTTGTAAGGCCAGAAACTTCATTGCAAATACTTTCAACAGCACAAGTGGTGACTATCCATGTGGATCTCACCAGGTAGAATATACAGAACCATATTGTCTACACCTGTGAGAGGAGAGAACCCTGGGATGTGGTTGTTCCTTGTTGGGCTGCTTACTGCAAGCACAGCAGTTTGAAACCACCAGCTGCTCCACCAGAGAAATAGGGGCCTTTCTACTCCCAGAAAGAGTTACCATCTTGGAAACTCACAGTGGCAGTTCTACCTTGTCTTATAGGGTCTCTATGAGTTGACATCAACTTAATAGCAGTGAATTTGTTTGTTTGGTTTTTTTTTTTGGCTTGGTGGGAGGAGACAATGGAGAAACCCAATATCATAAGACAAAATGATCCAGGGTCTGATTTTGTAACAGACCATCAATTTTATTATGAAATTGAAGAAAATGTAAATAAGTGCACAAGAGCCAAAATGCAACCTTGAGTATGCCCCACCTGAATTTAAAGAACATCTCAAGAATGCATCTGACTACCAAACACGAATGATAGAAGACCAAATTAATTGTGGGATGACATCAAGAATAT